CTGGATTCTTCCTTGCCAGCCCTGTCTGACCCGACAGGTGATAAGTTGACGCTTGTAATCTTGACCTACAAATACGGTTTACTCGATAATCTGAGAGACAGCCTGAGCAACATTCTAGATCCGAAGAGCAGGTATGAATCAATTGTAGATAAAATTATTATTGCTTGGAACGGGGATGCTGCTGATATTCCATCCAGCATACAAGAGCTTTCATACAAGCGCGCACATCTTCCTGTAGACATTGTTCACTTTGCTAAAAATACCCTCTTGAACCGATATGACACCTCTTTGCTGCCGCGCATCAACACCCAGGCCGTGTCTTTCTTGGATGATGACGATCAGGTTCCCACGGTACTTGAGATGGAATTATCCTTTAGTTTTTGGCGCTGTGACGTCCGACGTGCCACTTATATGGAAGGCCGGCAGGCACAAAACGTTGACTTCAACGTGGATGCGTTTGATTACTTCTCAACCACATCGCGGGCGAAGTCAACATTCGGTGTACCACGTGGTTCTGTTGTGTCGAAAAAGTGGTTGAACGTTTACATGTCACCGCAGCTCGAGGACTTGCAGAAGTTTGTGATCGGACACCCGTGCAAGCCAGACGACATTGCGTTTGGCTTGATGATTAATCCGTAAGGGCTTCGCCCCCTGCCGCCGGCCCTCTCTCTCGGAGCATGGGCCACGGAAGAGCGAAGTCATGAGGCTTTGGCTTCACCGTGAAGCAGCGTCGGACTTCATGCGAAGACGATGTGTAATTGGCAAGACGAATGGAGATTGCGAGTCTATTGTTATACTCGCTGTTGTATGAATTTCAGAAATGTTGCAAATCCCCTGTGTTTTTGGACCCTGACCCCGCCGATCTGTGTGAGGGGTGCCACCGAATTTTAAAACATGTGGCAAATCCTGTGTGTTTTTGGACCCTGACCCTGTCGATCCGCGAGAGAGGTGCCACCGAATTTCAGAAATGTTGAGAATCCCTTGGGTTTTCGGACCCTGACCCCGCCGATCGGCATGAGGGGTGCCACCGAATTTCAGACATGTGGCAAATCCCATGTGTTTTTGGACCCTGACACCGCCGATCTGCGTGAGGGGTGCCAGCGAATTTGAGAAATGTAGCAAATCCTATTTGTTTTTGCACCCTGACCCCGCCGATCTGCGTGAGGGGTGCCACCGAATGTCAGAAATGTAGCACATCCCGTGTGTTTTTGAACCCTGACCCCGCCGATCTGCGTGAGGGGTGCCACCGAATTTCAGAAATGTGGCGACTCCCATGTGTTTTTGGACCCTGACACCGCCGATCTGCGTGAGGGCTGCCACGGAATATCAGAAATGTGGTACATAATTTAATTTTTATCCACCCCAGCAATTCAGAGCACACGCTTAGGGCGTGCTAAACCTGCCCGTTTGGGCCTCCCCCCCCTCGCGCTGTCCATCAACAAGGAACAGTAAGCAGCAAGAAGCAGAACTGTAACAGTGGAAACTGGAAGCTGCAACTGGTACAGGAAACTGCGAGCCTTCGGCCTACAGCCTGGTGGCCCAACAAGGGGGCCGGCGGATTTCTTTAACCGTTTCACTGGTGCGGCTCCTACTGTACTCCCACGTGTGAGAGGGGACTTGACACGCGGGTCCAGCAATGTGGTAAACAAAGAAATGTCGCACGTAGAAGGTATGTCAGGTTCCGACCGATGGAACTTATGGAGAAGAGAAGCCTATGTTTACCTCAAGCATTTCTATGTGTCGCTCGACGCGCACTGGACACCGAATTACGAGGAGTGCTATCCACATAGTACGACGGATAACTGTGTATGGGAAATTAGCGAGACAGATGCGCGCAACATGTTGAGCCACTTGGCAACAGTGTGTCCAGTGATATGACAAGAGATGTTTGACAGCGAGGCATGATGGCCTGTCATTAGCGGTGTAGGGGTAGACACTATGTCAGAACTAAATGGGGTCAGGCGGAACTGGCCTCGAGCCATCTCTTGATTGAAAACGATAGGGAAAAACGACTGCCAATATCGACAGCACGAACACTTTTTCTTTGATCGCGGGCCTGAGCAGGGGGGCAGGTAGCCGATGCGATCCTGGAGCCCGGGACAGACAGGCCACACAGGCATGCTGTCTCGACGCTGCTGCAACCCCGGCGCGGGCGTTCAAGTCTAGCGCCGACCGTGGCCGGCATCGAGCTATTCGCGCTACCGAACAGGCGCGATCTTTCGAGGGAACGGAAAGAGCCATGTACGAGTGATGACGTTTTTGTGCGGGCCGAAGCCCTTTAGGTCGGGCGACGAAATCTATACATATCCACTGCTCCCTGACCATGCCCATCTTGAACCCAGGAGCTGTGTATGCGCCCTCCTGGCCAAGCCAGGAGGGCGTGGCGTATACACCGCTGCGGGGTTGAGGATGGGCCTGGCCAGGGAGCAGTGGATATGTATAGATTTCGTCGCCCTATTAGGGAGGGGTTCCAGGGGAGGGGCGAGGGGGGCACGCATACGTCTAATGGCCGCTGGGGGCCGTTTCCCTCGTAGCACGGAAAGACGCGAGGTACGAGTGATGACGTTCGGGTGGGGCGAAGCCCTAAAGGGAGGGGTTCAGGGGAGGGGCGAAGGCCGAGGACATTGGTGGTGATGGCCGCCGGGGGGTCGTATTATTTCGAGTGAAGCGGCTTGCGGGCGCCTTCCACGGCCCGTTGCCTGGTATTTTTTCGAGTGAAGCGGCTCAAGGGTCCCAAGACGGCCCAAGAGGGCCCCAAAACGGCCCCTGAGGGCCCCAAGACGACCCAAGAGAGCCGCAGAGGGCCTCCAGACGGTCCAGAAGAGGCTCAAGACGGCTCCAGAGGCCTTCCAGAGGGCCCTCGAGAAGACCCCCAGGGGCCCAAAACATGGGTTTTTCTATGGTTGGTACAGGTTTCTTTGGGTTCCTGCATTTTCGGGCCAAGAACTGTCCAAAACGGCCCAAGAGGCTCCAAAGATCTTCCCAAGACGGCCCAAGAGGCCCCCGAAAGGTCGCGAACACAGTCCAAGAGGGCCCCAAGACGGCCCTAGAGGGGCTCAAAACGGCCCAAAAGGGTTCCAAGACAGCCCAAGAGTCTGAAACCAAGGGCCCCGATAGCCCTCTCACTGTCGTCGTCTGAGGTAGACGAAGTCTTCGTGATACACACGATGAGGATGAAGGGGAGCACCTTTTGTTCCTGCGATCGCGGCGGCGCGCAGCCCGCGCCGTCTGAGGCGGTACACCGCCTTCTGTGTGAAAAACCCGCCCGCCCACTGCCGAGCCCAAAAGGCTGCAGCGGACGGACTCTCGAGCAGACCCCTCACATGAACACCTTCACAATCAAACAGGGGGAAAAGAGATCTGCTCGAGCCCCTTGTCCGTGGCTCCGGCTGTAGCTACGTCACTGGCAGCTGGCCGATCGCGCCTCCTGCTCTCCAGGATCTTCTTCGCCTCCGAGTGGTCCGTTTAGGTTGTCTCGTCGAAGATCCCCTTCCCGAGCGCAGACCTCTTCCGCGCCGAGAGGAACCTCTCGTCATGGACAATCTTCCACCTCTGGTTCTTCAGGGAGGCGTGGAGCACGTGAAACGCCTGGAGGCTGGCCTTGGTCATGCCGTCGGCCAGCTGGGCATGGCTGTGCACCACCCAGCGTACGAGGGTGCCGCCCTCCTCGAGGGCGCGGCGCAAGGCGAGCGCCTCTATGGCCGTCCGCCTCTCGTCGAGGCCTAACCCGGCCGACTTGGACTTCACCACGCCGTCGTAGAACGCCTTGCAGTCCGTCACGAGGGCACCCGGTACACGATGGAGAGCTCCGTGGCGGTCGTGAAGATCAAACCTCCCGTAGAGCACCTCGTACAGTACCAGTCGTACCATCATTTGCTCGCCCTCGGCGTCGCTAGCCTCCTGGATCTCTGCCGATAAGCTTGAGCGGGCCACCCTCTTCAGCTTACGAGAACCCAAGTCCAGGACCGTGAAGTCGCAGGCTTGGTGGAAGGGCCCTTCGGAAGTGCTGAGCGCCGTAACATGTCCTCCTTGAGAATGTCCATCTGGTCGGCTGGCCCAGGCAGCGTCGCACCACGTGACGATCCGAAAGTCAGGAGCCCCTGGTCCGCACCCAGGCAGACTGTGACGGAAGATCTGAAACCCGTCGGTTTTGTTGGCCTTGACCATCTTGGTGATGTTGTTGGCGATCCCGAGGAGCTTATAGTCGCCGGTAGGGATCTTGCTCTGTACGTCTGCGACCCACGCGGAAACCCATGGTAGTGTATTCACGCCCAGCCAAGATAAAGCGCCGCACCAGGTCCGTAGAGTACTCTGATCCGCTTCTGACAGTCGATCGCTGGGTCGAGCCTTCGGGTGCTTCGGGAAGATCTCCTTCAGCTTGTCGATGTAGTTCTGCTGATGAACGGGGAATGGCTCCCCACCTTGTCGAGGTCGTTGATGGCGTGGATGACGTAGCTGATGGCCTCGTCGATGTCGCAGTCGTGGTTCTGCTTCCGGAACTTTGTGAGGGTGCGCTTGAAGAGCTGGATCCTGCGCTCCACCTTCCCCATGAGCCAATGGGCTTCTCCAGACGCAATGAACATCTCGATGCCGCGGGAACTGCACCAGCTTTTGGTAAGTTCGGCCCGATGACAACCTTCAGCATCACATCGCACAAGACGTGGCACTCGATAGTGGTTCGTCCATGATCTCCAGGTCTCGAGAACATCTGCGGCCGACCTGTTGCCTGACCTCTGGGATTTGTCGCCGTGGTTGGTGACCTGAGTAAGTCCTGATCCCTCGTCTATGTTCAGCGTCAGGAGGTAGCTCGTGTCGTCCACAGGGTCGGTCCGCTCGAGACCGTCGCTTCCCATCACCTCGAAGACCTCGGGGATCTCGATGCCGGCTGCAGTTCGAACCGCCTTCGGCAACACGGAGGAGCCGCACGCGTGACTTTTGAAGTTCTTGACCATCTTCAGCACCTGCAGGCTGGCGCCCGAGTTCTTCAGGATCTTGAACATGGTGCGGGCGCTGGGATGGCAAAGGTTACGATGGAGACGGCTGAGACGGAACTCAATCTCCTGCGCCTCCTTGGTGATGTGGCCGTCCTACTTGGAAAGTGCCTTGAAGTCATCCCCGTCGAACTCCTCGTCGGACGCCTGTAGATCCTCCGTCTCTGGGTCCGCAACGTCGCCCTCGAAGATCAGGTCGTCGTCCTCAAGGTCGGTCTCCAGTAGTGCTGAGGCCCCTGCCGTTCTGCCGCCACAAGCTCGTAGTATGTGCTTTGCCCAGGCCTCGCACATGGCCTCGGGGTAGAAGGCAGTAGAAGCAACGATCTTGCCGCCCAGGATCTCACCGTGCTCGTGGTTGTCATGTCGACCAGGGTGGTTGCTGCACCTAGTGCCGATGACCCTCTGAAGCTTGGGGTCGGTGGAGCAAATCCGCCAGACCTTGGGAAGAAGGCGTCCACTGCGAGGGCACTTGAGGCCGTAGGCGCAGCCGGTGACCAGCGTCTCGTAGGTCTGCTCTTTGATGCGATTGAGCGCGTCCGAACGGGACCAGCTCTGTGACCGCTGTGGTTGTTCAAGATCAACTTCCGTCCTAGGATGCTGGAGTCCAACTGACATGATCGTTTCGCAGCCGAGTTGAATCCGCCGAGCTTGCTGCACCTTCTTGCGAAGTCGTTCTCGATCTTCGGTTGTCTTCTAGTTCCAGTTCTGCAACTGGCAGGCTGCGGTGCACGGGGGGCTCATGAGGATCCGCCGAGGTCGGTGTTGGCGAATCCACAGCACCAAGCGGCGTACCCCCGTCTTGGTAGACATGTCGAACCCGTTGTGCACTCCCGCGCGGAAGGCGAGGCCACCCTGGTCGAGCACCGCCTGGGCCAGACGTGACGTTGGTGGCGTGCAGACCTCCAGGAGGTCAAAGCGTCCGCGACGGGCGAGGTAGTTGACGTCGTCACCGATGCCCTTCTTGTAGCTGCTGTCGTACTGGTCGATTGCGCCCTGCAGGACGTCCAGGTCCTCGCGACTCAGAGTTTCTCGCGGCCACTCGTGGTGGTCCCCTCTATGTCGGGCGTGTCGTCCAGCATCTCGAAGGATTCAGACGAGGGCTCGTGCTCCAGCTGCGTCTGAATCTTCTTCAGCACGCGCCTCCATCTCATGTAGATCACCTCGTTCCTGCAGAGCCAGCTGGCTTCGGGGCTTGCCGATCTCACAGACGGAACCTCTGGAGCACCAGTTTGAGGCTGTTGGTGCTTCCGCGGTGGGGGTCGACAGTCCTGCGCGAAGTTCAGGGAGGGCAGACCGGCCACCACCAGGAGGCTGTAGTGCGTCTGTCCGCCCGTGCACGAGCATCCGTTCCCCTTGCGACTCGGCTGGCCGCAGCATCCACACCTCTGGAAGCCCTTGGCCTTGGACTTGGCCGCCTGGACGAGCGTCGCCGTGGGGTTGGCTCCTGCATCACCCGGAACCACATGCTTCGGAGAAACAGAAGCGCACTCGCCTTGGATCACCCTGGCCTCGTGCTGAACCTGAGCGGGAGTAGGTGTGCTGGCTGTCGAAGTTGTCGGCAGCTTCGAACGAAACGGTGTCGTTCTGTGGTCCTGCGGCCGCATCTGAGCAGGTAAAGGTGGCGGTGGCACACCCGAAGGCGACGAGCCTGTGCCACGGCGACATTCCATCCGCTGAATATGGAGAATATGGAAATTGAAGATGTCTTCTGGACTGCATACCCCTTCGAGCCGAAAGCGCTCGGTACACATCAAAATCATCAGGATCGCAGGGAGGTACTGGCTGTCCTTTCGGAGGTTTCGATCTCGTCCTCGTCTGCAGTCCAGATGATGTTGGTGACTTCGTTATCGTCGGACTCGATCGCTTAGGACCCGAAGACGTTTCCCAAGAAGCCCTCGATGATGTTGGAGATTTCGGAGTCGCCGATGTCGAACCTCCTGGAGTCCTCGGAGTAGTTGCAGTCGTGCCCCCTGGGGTCCTCAATGAAGTACACGGAATAGGAGTAGCCATCGGGTTTTAGGGGGACCTTCTTGGCATAGGAGGGGCCGTAGAAGATCTTGAAGAACTCTGTAAGGAGCACGAGGGCGCTGCAGGAACGACGGGGGGAGCTGGAACCGCATCTGTCGGGGGGAGCTTCTCGGGATCTCTCGAGCCATCTCCGAAGAACGACCTTTCAGGATTCTCATCGGGCCCCCCCAATGGACTAGTGGAATCTGTTTTCCTCGGGTCCACCAGGGGGCGCTGTCCCCAGCTCGAGAGCGCCTCCGCCGTGCCCGGCTGGGGCTCATCCGAGCCCTCCTGCACAGCAGCGTCCACGAGCCCGGTCTGGCCCTCCTGGTCCTCCAAGGTGTGGCACTGGGCGACCGCATCGGAGATCGGGAGCCTCTGCGGCACCTGCTGCCACCAAGTAGGCGTCGTCACGTTGATCGCGAGGTGGCCGCTCGGCATCTTACGGCACTGGAAGATGCGGTTGGAGATCTTCGGCATCATCAAGTAGCCGTTCCCGCAGTCGATGAGGGCGCCAGTGTGCTCAGGCCCCAGGATATCCATCCCGATCAGCAGCGGCACTTCGTTGTCCATGATGGAGATCTCAATCGTCTCTTTGCCTTCGCCGAGGAAGATGTCGCCGGCCGTCCCCGAACGTGAAGTACCTCGTCGTCTCAGCCAGGTTAAACTCCAGGTCGTGCTTCTCCTTCATGTCGTAGGCAAGGTACTCCGCCATCGTGACCCCGATGAGACTCCTTTTCGCCCCGCAGTCGAGGATCGCCCAGATGCCGCTCGAGTCGTCCAGAAAATGCACCAGCTCGCCCAGCTCAAGGAGCGCGAAAGAGTTCGTCTCGGTAGGGTGCTGCTTGCCCTGGCCCTTGGCTCTCTCAGGGCAGTCCTTGGCCTGTTGCCCGAACTTGCGGCAAGCCAAACACCGAATCCGGCGCCGGTCTCGTACAGGTCCAGGTCCCTGTCCACCCTTGCTGTCACGAGGAGGACGAGGCCGTGGAGGTCCTTCAGGATGGCGCGGCGCCAGCGCAGGGTAGCAGTCCCGCGCGACCTTCAGATTCCTGATGAGGTCCCTGGCGTCCTTAAAGTTCCGGCCCATCTGCTTGAACTCCGCGTAGATCCCCTCCTCGGGCTCGTCGAACAGCTCGGAGTCCTCCAGCAGCAGCGCGTCCTCCTCGTCAGCCAAGCTCACCAGCTGATTCACCATGTCCGCGATCTCGGACCGGTCCTCCAAGACGTTGACCTCCTGGTCGGCCTCCTCGGTCTCGCCGTAGAACCTGGCCAGCCTGTCCTTCTTGTCGCGGACCCCGTCGAGCTCCTTCAGCGCCTCCACTGGGTGCCGCGTGCAGAGTGCCTTGTACGTTCTGCCGAAATCGTAGTCGCCGCCCGCCATCGCAGTGACCTCGCCTCTGGCCACTGGCGTCAACCGCGAACGGCGAAGGTGCCACCACGTCCTCAACGGCGCTGCGATGACCTCCTCCACCGTGTCGTCATCCGCCTTCAGCTGTGACAGGAGATCCCGCTCGTGTGCTTCCCATCGCGCCGTCCAGTCGGGGAAGCCCTCCCCTGGCTCCCGCTGGAGCTTGTTGAACAACTTCTCAGCAGAGTTCTCCATCTTCACGTTGGACAGGTCGAGCTTTGACAAGAGAAACTCGAAGACGCGCGACCAGCCCGTCAGCTTGCCTGTGTCCGTGACCTCGTCGATCGTGTCGATGTCGGGGCACGCTTGTGCCAGTCTGTGCGTCCTGCCCTCCAGCGCTCTCACCAGCTGGGGTCCCACCACGTACCTGTCCTGGAGCTTATAGCTCTTCGTGAAGAGCCCGACGTCGAGCTTGTACGCCAACAGTTTGTCGGGCTCCCCGTCCAACGTCGGGACGTCCAAGCGGAGGCCTCCACTCCAGTAGCGCCAGCGGCTCCGCCTCCGGACGATGTCGCCATCGTCGTCCGTGGTCTTGTCACGGCTCTGCTACCAATCTGAAACCAAGGGCCCCGATAGCCCTCTCACCGTCGTCGTCTGAAGTAGACGAAGTCTTCGTGATACACACGATGAGGATGAAGGGGAGCACCTTTTGCTCCTGCGATCGCGACGGCGCGCACTCCGCGCCGTCTGATGCGGTACACCGCCTTCTCAGTGAAAAACCCGCCTGCCCATTGCCGAGCCCAAAAGGCTGCAGCGGACGGACTCGAGCAGACCCCTCACATGAACACCTTCATAATCAAAAAGAAGGCCCCAAGACGGCCCTACGAGAGCCTCAAGAGGACCCAAAGAGGCTCCCAAGAGGGCCTTGAGAGGCCCCTGAGAGAGCCCCAAGACGGCCAATAGCCTCCAAGATGCCCCAAGACGGCCCCAAATGGCCCCAAGACGGCCCAGAATTGCCCCAAAAGGCCTCCCCAAGGGCTCCCAAAGGGCCCCAAGAAGATCCCGACGAGGCCCAAGAGACGCTCAAGAACACCATGGCTCCCATCAGGGAGCGGTGACGTAACAAGCTCTTGACACCAAGGCTCCCCAGAGCGCGGTGATGTAAAGAGCTCGTCACACCAAGGCTCCCAAGAGCGAGAGGCAACGTAAAAGTCTCTGAACACCAGGGCTCCCGACCGAGAGCGGCGTCGTAACAAGCTCTTCACAGTGAGAGTCCTAAGAGTGAAGGGTGCCATAAGCCCTCTCGGGCAAGTTATTGAGGCGCGACGTGAACCTGCCGCGCCGCGATGGAGCCTAAGCAAGTACTCCGGAGGTCACTGGAAGCCCCTGGGGACTCCCAGAAGGCCTCAGAAGGCCCTCGAGGCCCTTCAAGGTGACAGAGCTAGCGCCGCCGTCGTCGCGGCACTGATCTGCCGTGCCCAGCTTCCGCAGGCCTCCCGGGCACCGCAGCTCCAAGCCGAAGTCTGAGGCGCGGTGGAGGAGGATGAGGAGAAGGAGCAGGAGGAGCGAGGAGGAGTGCGTTGACGCGCTCGTGTGCAAAGGCCCTTCCCCGCTCCTTTCACTCCTCGGCGCTCTCCTTTGCCTACTTACCTTC